GACTCACTCCTGGCCTCGTGATGCTTACAGTGTGCTGGGGAAAAGATGCCTTAAGCAAATAAACACTCAACAGGTTGCAAAATCGCTGCTGTGGCTAGTGCCACCAAGGAGAAATACATGGTGCCATAGGAACTTGAAATCAGGGGATTTGGCCTGGATAAGGGCAGCATTCCTGATAAATTAGAATTGAATCAAGAGCTGGAGAATAAGGAAAACAAAGAAGCTCATTGCAGGCAAAAGGACCAAGTTTGTGTGCAGTATTCACTGGGAGTAACTAACTAAATTTTTAGATTTTTTCTTACAACACCCCAAACTTCCCTTCTCCCGGCAATATGTTTTGTTTGATCTGAGTATAGACAGAGAGCCATGCCAATGGTTTGGTGAGTACAGTCCTTCTCTCACCATGTACCAGTTGGAGATACCAACAACACTCCTCATCTGTTCCATACCCCTCACCCCACCACCAGTGGCCCTCAGGGGAAAAGAAAGCAGCAGAAAATAGGGATAGAGCTTAGATAGGGTGGGGGCTATGGAAAGAATGTGTCCCCTTGCAGGTCCCATTCCCTGGAGGGACCAACTTCAAGACCACACATTGTTCTCTATGCAGGTGTCAGATGCCCACCAGCCTTTTTCCTGCCTGGAAATGCAAGGAAAATAGTGACAAGATCAAAGGAATGCCAACAGCCCTCCAAGTCAGCTCTTAGAAACTCTTTAAATGAGTAGAGACTTGGAATGACTGCTTATTCTTATGTCTGGGATCTTTCAGGAAAAGTATGAAAGACAAGGGAGACAAAGACCCAGGGTAGAAGGGTTTGCAACCTCAAAAGACAACAGGAGATCAAACACTTCAGAAATATTGCTGTAATTGGAACAAAAATAAGAAGTGAAATCACTGTGAATTCCTCTTTATGAGTTCAAAACACAGAATTTCTTTCTCCTTGGTGTCATTTAGCTGTCATTATCTGGCCCACAAGGCAAAAGCAAACCAGGTAGCAGCTTTGGATAGGCTCTTGTTTACTGTACCTATGTCTTTACAGCACCAAACTTATATTAAAATACCCCCAAATGAAAGCACCCCAAAGCCCTATTGCTAGATGTTTTCCACTGGTACAATGATCTTCACTGGTTGCTTAGGCCTGTGTTGATGCTAATATATTTAACAATACCCATGAAGAAACTACAAGTCTCCACACACAATGATATGTGCTTTCATATACAGGTGCACAGCTGTGTTAATGATGATTACTAACAAATGAAACATAAATTGTGGAGGTTACAGGATATGGGGAAAGAGTATGCCAGCATCAAAGTGTTTCAAGTCCAGGCATAGGAAAAGAGAAAATTTATATGCAGGATTTGTAACTCATGCAATGAGCAGGACTGCCTAAGAAGAGTGAAGTGGAGGATAAAAGTTTGGAGGATGGAAGGAGTCAGCCTGGGTAGCAAGAGTCAGGTATAGATTACAATGAATATAATAGAGAAGCTGAAATAGACAAAATCCAGGATGCAAAGTAAACTCACAGCAAGCATTAAGAGAGACTACAGAGCCCATACTGGGCCAGGGAAGGAGTAGACAGTAAGCTGAACAGAGTTTCCCTAGAAACTAGACACAAACATATCCCATTGTGGTGTGCTGATAGCTGCAGAGTTGGAACATTTCTTCTGTTGAGTCATGAGGCACTGCCACATCATTTTCCTTCCCAGGTTCTAGGAACCAGGCTGAACTTCTCATGCCCAAGGCCGTGATCTAAAGCCAAAAGTATACGTCTGACACGGAAAGAATTTTCCCAGAAAAACCTGATGGTAGCTCTAGGACTGGGAGTACAGTAGGGATAGAAAAAATTGCAAGATTTACTACTTAAGATAAACCAGGTGTGCTATATTCACGTCCACTTGAATGTAGCTGGAGGCCCCCAATAGGTCTGAGTTACAGAGGAGGGAATCTTCAGATTTCAATAGTCATGCTGCTTCAGGGTGCCCTTCCAAAAGCAGAAGTGTGTGAAGTGTATGAAGGTCCTTGAGGCAAAAGTATCATGCATCTGTAAAGCAGTTTTATATCAAGCACCCTCAACAACACAGCTCAATAAGAAAATGTCTCATTCTGGGTGTGTATCAGCTCCACAGAAAAAAATGGTAGAGCCTTCCCCTGGGTCCTAGGAATAAGACTATGCAGACTTGTGGTTCATTTAAAAGGAAATACAAATGATGCATGGAAGTAAGTTTTTCTCAAACCACTCTATCCAACCACCTGACTGTGCCTAGAGTGATTGGTCCTGGGCCTATGTGAAAGAGCAGGGTTGGCCTCACTGGTGTTTCTGAAACTATCCAGTATCCACCTTAGACACACACACTGGCTTGACCTAGAGGATTTCTGTATCTTCCACTTTCTGCAATCTCCTCACTTCTTTAGATCACAGATGGAGCAAATAATCCTAGCTTGGATGATTTATTCATCATCTTTCATCAGAAGTCCCTCATTCTTCATGCTTCCTTTGCTTTAAACTGTCAGATGCAGATGGTCTTTAGCTGAGATGATTCTTATTCCCTGTGAATAGTAAAGGAGTAAATTTATGTAACAAGTATTCAGCATTGATACAGAGGAATGCAGAGGGTGTGAAGGACCTCAGGCACAGGGCAGGGTAAAGAGGAGCAAATTTGGAAACAGAAGAAATCAGAACCCAGAGTACAGCCTCAAAAGCAGACAGTACCTCTTTGGGTCTCAAGGTGGTGATGGTGGGATAAAAAATCCTGGTAATTCAGGAAGAGAGGCATGAAGACATGGGAGGCAGAGATCTAGCATACCTTCTCCTTCTCCCAATCTTGTTTTCATCACAACAGCCACACAAATGCCTCTTACATTAAACTACAGCTGAGAACGGGAGATTGACAGAATTTTCACTTTTCATCTGGATGATTCAACATCATGTAGAAACAGCCACTGTGAGCCTCCTAAGGAGGGGAAGGGTGGAAAGCAACCTGCTTGAAAGACTGATTTAAAAAAAAAAAAAAGTTTAGAAGCCACTAGGTGTTTGGTACTTATTTTCAAGGCTATAAATCCCACAGCAGGTGCACCCAGGCAATCAGGATAGGCAAGAACTCTGATAAATTCAACGGTGATACTTAGGGCCACAGAAACCCTGGGAGGCTATAAATAGTCATTAGGAATGAGATGTTGCTGAACACAGAGGGAGAAATCCACCAATAGAGCAGAAATGTAAATCAGGAACTACTATGAGAAAATTGTGTTTTCATATTAAGTATAAAGGAAGAAAAAAGAGAAAAAGTAAAACTAGATATTTTTTTCCCAATGGTTGGTCAGAATTTGAGTCGTTTCAGAACATTTCAATGGAAGGAAGGAAGGAAAAGGAGAGAAAAGGGGAGGAAGGGAGGGAGGGAAGGAAAGAAGGAAGGGAGGAAGGGAGGGAGGGAGGGAGGGGATGGGGTAGGACATAGGACAGGGGAAGGAAGGGATGGGAGGGAAGGAAAGTATGGGAAGGGTAGAGAAAGAGGGAAGGAGGGAGGAAGTGAGGGAGGAAGGGAAGATAAGAAAAGAAGGAAGATCACCTCAGCCCCCATTAGAGAGCTCTGTACAGATTGTACAACTGTGTCCATAGTCAGTGACCTTATAGAGATTGTCACAACACCTTCAGCTGACAAGGTTGGATTTCTCTTTTTGCAAGAGACCAAAACTTATTGATAAACACTGCTTACCTGCACATATTCTCTGTGGACAATGTGAGGATTAATACATGTTTGTTAAGTCATTCTTGAAGTATGTGAAGGTCCTTGCGGCAAAGGCGTCATGCATATGTAAAGCTGTTATAATCATTTTCAAAATTCACTCCTTACCTGTTTCTGCTTCCAACAAAACACACATTTTAATCACTAAGGGGCTTTAGTTTATTGGATAGCATCTCACAAATATCAGAGAACAATAAAAATGTATTTCATTATATTGTCGTTAACAGCCTAGTTTTTAGGATATTTCTGTCTGTAGTTTTGATCATCTCTTCCATGAATTATATTTACAATGCTGGGATAGGTCACCTTGAAATGTAAGTTTGCTCTATACATAAAGAACTCTGTGGAAGCCACATTTTAAAAAATGCTCTCTCTCATTTTTTTTCCTCTCTCAAATTTTACATATGGATTTTCAGAGCAATAATTGTTGCAAATATCTAGCAATATAGAATCAGAGTGGTGAGAGTTGGTAATGATATTGTTATACCACTTAATATGTTCTTGGCTGACCCACACTGACCCTATTTCAGAAAATGCTTTCATAGACCCAGAATATAATTGATTTATTTCCTCAGTCAGGGAAGCATGGTCATTTACTAGCAATTGAAAAATGAGTTTCGGCATCAAATAATGTTTTATTAAGCCCTATAAGCATGATAAGACTAATAGAAAAAAGACTAGGATTTCTGGAAATAAATAGAGAAGATAAAAAGTAGTGATAAATAGCATCCACTTTGAAGGTGAATCACCTGGGTTCGAATCCTGGCTCCACTGCTCATCAGTGGTACAGCTTTGAAGATCATCTTCTTTACCTCCACTGCTTCTGTAAAATAGCAAAATCAAGAATACCTACCTCCAAGATTATTGCGAGGATTAATAAAAAGTTCCTGTATAAAACACTTAGCACATATGACTCACCTGCACAGATACTGAATTGTAGGGACAATTCTATCTTCTGAAGAGGTTTAATGCTGGGTCTCTTCACCACCATGCCTGCCCCATCTATTAGTGAAAGTGACCATGAATTCTCTCAGTCCTTCTTCTTGATATCCCTTACATCTGTACCTTCCTGCCTCTCCCACTGAGAGTTCTTCCTGCAGATTCCCTTCACCTTTCTCTTGATATGCCAACTACTACAGTAATCTCCTAGCCACCATCTTGTTAGAATCCACCTTACCAGCACACAGCTTCCACATCTACTTTTTTATAATGCTATTTCCTATGTTTAAAAAATGTTGATGTTTTCCCACCACCCACAGGATGAAGCTGAAATATTTTAGTCTGGCATTCCAGATCCTTCACATCTTGGCCTCAGCCTACCTAGACATCTTGACTTCCCTCTGTTCACCGTCACTGATACTTGGCCAAATCAACTCTTCTATCCACAGGAATGGCATGCTCCATGTAAGCTGAAGTAAGCACATGAATTCATAGAAACTTTCCTAAAGGTTTTTGCCATCAGAATCAAGGGAAAGTCAGACAAAAATTTATGCAATCTTCCCTATGCCAACACCCCTCCTTTTTTCATGCAAATAGCCTGAAATGGAAAGCCAAAATTGCTCATCACTAAAGTGAATGACTTTGAGAACACAAAAGACTGGTTAAATTCATTCACATTTGAGAGACCCTCCAGGCTGTTCTGAATAAGGATCTCAGCAAGTATGCAGTTCTGTAGTCAGAGTTAGTATAAGGCCCTTGGATGAGAGACTGCCATTCCCCAGGTTACAGGACCAGCTCTAATGCAAGTAATTCACTATTCTGGTTACTACCACTGTATTACAAAGTACTCTAAAACTTAGTGGCTTAAAATAACCATGTTCTTTTGTTAACGGTATTGGAGGTCAGAAAATTAGGAAGGACTCAGCTTTTCAGATTTTACAAGGGCTAAAAATACAGATTGGGGGTGGGGGCAAGACGAATAGTTTTCAGTTGAAATCACAGGGAAGTGTGAGATTTTCCAAGAAGAATGTGCAGGAAAAGAAGGCAACCAAGCCAGAACCTCAGGAAAATCAGCCTGTCTGAGGGAAGTCAAAGAAGGTCTGTCTTATTCACTTCTAACCTACATGCATTCCTTAAATATAAATGACAACTTTATAGAAATTTTCATTACCACCGAGAAAAACAGGTGATTGAAAACTCTGCTTTCCCTCTTAGTTCTCCCTTGGAATCCCTTTTGGGGCTGCAAAATATCCAGATATCGGCTGGGATTAAAGTCATCTGGAGACTGGACTAAATATCAATACACATTTTAAAGTGAATTAAATTAAAAGAGACATCAACATCATGTACAGGTATGATTAGTCAGAATAAACCAGGATTTGCCACAATAACAAACAGCTTTACAATCTCAAAGACTTAAACAATGAAGGTTTATTTCTTGCTCATATTACACATTTATCAAAGATTGACTAGGAGCTCAATTCCACGTCATCATCATCATTCTCACTGTGCAGTTGAGATCAACAGAGCAGCCATTATCTGGAATATCATGGGCCACCTAGCAAAGGGAAAGGAGAATATGGCACAGCATATACTGACCCTTAAATCTTCTACATGGAAGTAATACATGTACTTCCATTCACTTTTTGTCAGATAAAAGTGTGCTATGACCATACCTGAGCTCAGGCACAAGGAAGAATTTCTTACTACATGCCTAAATTGAGCCTGAGAGTCAAATATAGTAAACAGCATTATTAACTAATCCAACAAACATTTGCACCAAAACAAATTTGCTTTCAGTTGAGAAATCAGAGCAGACTTATTGGAAGTAATCAGGAAGTCAGCATTTGTGTGGAACATAAAGAGTTGGGAGGATTTAAATGACTGGAAATGGAGAGAAAAGAGGAGAGAGAAAAAGCAGGGAGGTAGGAAAGCACCAGGCAATATTACAAGGAATAGTCCCACTTAACTGGGACATGAGGTGCTAGTTCATTCTAAAAAATTTTATGCTAGATAAAAAGATGAATTTGCTCTACATCAAAACCTGTAAGATTGATAAGCTTGAGAGGAAAACGATATGCTAAGTTACAGAATGGATAATGGAGTTGCACCATAGGCCACAAAACTAGGTTCACAGAGTAAATGAAAGAATAAGCCCTGAGGATGAGATTTAAGAAATAACTTTTTGCTTAAATCAGAGAGACAGGATGCATCCTGTTAGAATTAGAAAATAATAATGGAAAAAAAAAGTGCCTGGCAAGAGGGACATGCATATTCTCAGGTAAATTTTCAGTGCTCTCTCATGAATAAAAGAAGAGGCTGAATGGTTTTTGGTTTTAGATGTTGTTATGCTATTAACATCTCCCGTGTTCTTTGGGCAGAAGAAATTAATAACAATAGAAGTATCTTCCTCTATCATGATCACCATATGATAGAAACTTAGTAGTTTCATTGCTGATCAAAGAACTAATTTTTATTTAAAACAATAAATTGTTTACTGTCAAATACCAGTTAATGTTTTCTTTATTATAAGCTTCTGGAAGGCAGGGCCCAGATCCCACTTAAATTTTTGTCATCATTGCCAACATGAGATGATATTTTGTACAATACATTGAATTGACTTGCTACAGCTAAAAAAAAAAAAAAAAATCCTACTCCATTTGTGTTGTTCATCCTTTTCTTTCAAAACAAATATTTTGCTTAAGTAAGATTTTTGCCTTCATTAAAGCTTTTATGCTCAGAATACATGTGGTCTAGATACTTAATGTAGTGAATCCCAATTTTGTTTAAAATTTTATTCTATGCTTAGGCTCCCCTCTCTATTTGTGTTTTTATAATACCTATCAACTTCCCATTTGGATGTGCTGAGGGAAACAATTTAGTCAGAAACCCCTACTGCCTGCTAAAAGTTTATCCAAGAACATTCCTGAAACAGCCAGCTTCTCTCAGCCCCAGCTCACTGAGTCTACCTTCAACATACCTCCCCAAAGCTATGAGAAAGAAAAGGAGGAAGGTTCTTTAGTGCTGGCTACCAATGTAGTCCTCCAGGGATTCCTAGATTATAATTCTTCTGTGCCACATACCAGAGTTCCTGCTCATGGTCCTTGGTCCACAGACTTTAGGAGGTCTCAAATCTGCCCTAAGTGGGAGCAGTCTGCAACTCCCAGGGGAGAATAGATTTTACTTTTCGGGGGGATGGGGTACCAGGGATTGAACTCAGGGTCACACAACCAGTGAGCCACATCCCCAGCCCTATTTTGTATTTTATTTAGAGACAGGGTCTCATTGAGTTGCTTAGTGCCTCCCTATTGCTGAGGCTGGCTTTGAACTCACGATCCTCCTGCCTCAGCCTCCTGAATCACTGGGATTACAGGTGTGCACCACCTCACCTGGCTAGACTTTACTTTTTTAAACATGTGTATAACAACTTTTGGTGACATAGCCATGGTATTTATGTTCCTGACAGGATCTCCTTTCAGAAGAGGCTAAATTCACTTCTGTATAGAGGGGTGAATATATATAGTGGTTTACATAATACCTTTATTTCATTTATTTTATGTGGTACTAAGGATCGAACCCAGAACCTCATACATGCTAGGCAAGTGCTCCACCACCTATGGAGCTGCAACCTCAGGCCCATGAATTTTTTTTTTTTTTTTTTTTTAAGGCAGGCTCTGATTGTGTCACCCAGCCTGGCCTAGAACTCCTGGGCTCAAGTGGTCCTCCCACCTAAGCCTCCCAAGTAGAAAGAATATGGGTGCACACCACCACACTCAACTATAAGATTATTTTTATGTGAGTAATACATTTAATATAGTGTAAAACAGAGAGAAACATTTATTGCTCTTTAAAAGAAAAAGACATTTATAAAGTCCCTCTATTTCATAAGGACTTAGGAACAACTTCCTTAAAAAAGCCAGAATACAACAGACAGGGAAATCTGGACCCTGACTAGGCTTAGTTCAGTGGGGAGCAGGTCTCTGCACACTTAGAAGCTAGGTGGGAAGATGTTTGAGTAAAAGGGCATTAATGGGAACTGACACACTCCAGATCATCTAGCCGAGTGTACCATAGCATATCTAGTTAGAACAGAGCAGTCTTCAGTGAGCAGTTTTTACCAAATAGACCATATTAAAGCAGAAAAAGATGTTAAATCATTTAGACATTTTATCAAACTATATTTGCCTAATAGAAAATCTCTCAATGATTCCAGTGTCAACGTGGGACTCCTCTATCCTCAGTTTGGACTGTGGCACTAATACAACAGGTCCTAAAGTGAGTGTGAAAGAGGTCTCTGTACACAGGATATAGAAGGGTTGGGGTTGGAAAAAAGGAGAATGGACTATATAATGAGATTTATTTGGGGGGAATTCCCCTGCACTAGAGGTAGGGCCTCTTCACCTCAAGTGCAGTGAGGGTTCTCTCTACAATGGAGCCACTGAGAGTTATGTGTGGCACTCCTGAGAACCATGATGGTAAGGTAAGCAGCTCCCAAAGTCAACGTGAACCTAGAGACTTAGTGTTTCTCCTGAACCAAGAGGCCATGAGGGAGAGAGGTACTCTTGAGCCCTAGACTTTAACAGGAGCATAAATATGATCCACCCCTGCCCGGGAGCCCAGGAAGAGATCATAAATCTCTCCACCCATGCAAGGGAACCTTAAGGTATAAGTCCCCACAGATGATACTCTGAGGAACCAAGAAAGAACCCAGTCCTCTCACATCTTCTCCCTCCCTTGATGTTGACCCTGGTAAAGATGAAAAGCATCTAGCAAGTAGGAATGAAGTCAAGTAAAGGTCTTAGCATGGGGGCAAAAGCTTGGAAAGAACTCTTACCTCTTTTCCGAGACTTTTAAAATAATAGTTCAACATTTGAGCAATCATTTGTAATATTTTGTTGCATTTTTATTATACTTAAAAATAAGATTGGTCATTGCAGATTAACACATGGCCACAATAGAACAATATGATTTGGTCAATTTAATTTCTAGCACCTCCTCTTTCCCTTCTTTCCTCTCTCCTCCTGGTCTCCTTCCTCTACTCTACTGGTCTCCCTCTGTTTTTATGAGATACCCCTTTTTTCCCTTTTTCTCTCTAGCTTCCACATATGAAAGAAAGAATATGGCCCTTACCTTGCTAAGCTTCGCTTATTTTGCTTAATATAATGCTCTCCAGTTCCATCATTTCCCTGCAAATGGCATAATTTCATTCTTCTTTAAGGCTAAGTAAAACTCCATCATGTATATATACCACATTTTCTTTATCCATTGACAGACACCTAAGCTGGTTCCATAATTTGGCTATTGTGAACTGTGTTGCTATAAACATCCATATCCATGTATCACTGCAGTATGCTGACTTTAATTCTCTATGATAAATATTAAGGAGTGTTATACCTGGGTCATATTCCTGGTCTTTTGAGAAACCACCATACTGATTTCCATAGTAATTATAATTACAATCCTACCAATATTATATAGTGTTCTTTTTCGCCACTTTCTCACCAGCATTTATTGTTATTTGTATTCTTGGTAATCTCACTCTAACTGAACTAAGATGAAATCTCAGTGCAGTTCTGGTTTGCATTTCCCTGATTGCTAAGGATGCTGAATATTTTTTCATATATTCAATGACCATTTGCATTTCTTCTTTTGAGAAGTGTATGTTTAATTCATTGGCCCAGGTATTGATTTGGTTTGTTTTTGGTGTTTTTTTTTTCTTTTTGTTTTTTTTTTTTTAGTTCTTTTTCTGTTTTCTGGTTATTAGTCCTCAGAAGAGTAGCTGGCAAAGATTTTCTCTCATTCTGTAGGCTGTTCCCTCATGCTCTAAATGCTGATCCGAAGCTTTAAAATTTGATGCAATCTTAATTGTATTATTTCCTGAGCTTCATGAATCCTTTTGAAGAAGTCATCACCTGCACCTATGTGTTGAAGTGTTGACCCTATGCTTTTTTTCCTAACAGTTGCAGTATTTCTGGTTCAAATAATAGGGCTTTGATTCACTTTGAGTTGATTTTTATGCATGGTAAGAGATAGGGATTTAGTTCCATTCTTATACATATGGATACCAGTTTTTCCAAGACCATTTATTTAAAAGGCTATCTTTCCTCCTGCATACATTTTTGTCATCTTTGTCAAGTATCAAATGATTATATCTGTATGGGTTTGTCTCTATATCTTCTATTCTGTTCCATTTTTCTATGTGCCTGTTTTTATGCCAGTGCCATGCTCTGTAGCATAATTTTAAGTTGGTTATTGTGATGCCTCCAGCATTGTTCTTTTAGCTCAGGACTG